TAGCATATGGTCTGAGTTTCCTTGCTCCACGATCGGCTCACAATGTTGACGCTATATCAGAATTCTATGGTTCAGTCATGCAACGGGGATCAAACCATCACAGACTAATCTTCGCTGAAAAATTTCCCCCCATCCCCTGATAGGGTAATAGGTGGGTTATTAGAATCGTTGATTCCAATCGGTTTGATAGACGCGGGAGAGAAGTCGGCGAACTAAAATCCTAGGCGCTTTCTCCATAGGCTCGCCACTCCTAACTGGGTATAGTAGCTGCAGTAGTAGCAGATATTTATTTATATTAGTGATGGCTATACGGTATTAGACTAAATAGTCTGTGCATATATATTACTTAGATAGGTCAAATTTTGAGAAGAGGACAGACTGTGTATATATAATTTAGGGGGCAAAAAAAAAATAGGACAATTACATATGATCGGTAAAGTATATTGAAAATATCATGAGAAGGAGAAATAAAAACCAATCAAAAGTATATCAGACGACTATCATTTTGATCTTCTCAGCTGATAAAAGAAAATGGAAATACGTGTATTACGGCGTATATGGTATTGTGTTATCAGGATAAGCCGTATTATTTAGCTAAATAATTGGTTACCCCGTGCCACCACTTTTCCCTCTTCACCTTTTCTATCTCTACAACTTTTCGAGGTCTCAGCTCGAGTCACTTCTTGACTCATATTTAATTCAATAGGTATTATACATCCTCAGTTACCAGTCTCCCGGTTGCCCCGAATCCCGATGAGACTGATGGAGTTCACACCGTTGCTAACCCTCGCATTCAGAGCCTCGATTGCTCGATCTTTTTTTTCGAGTCTCAGTCGGGTCGCACAAGCAAGATGTCGACTACGTCTAGTAACATCTGTTGAGCTATCCCATCTTCAGCGTTCTCTCCCTCCCACCAAATCCCCGTTGGCGCCATGGAGAAAATCAACACCGGGGATGGTCAACTTTTCATAAAGGTTTGTGTTTTTATGCAGTCGCTTGATCATTGAGATGATGAGAGATTGTCAGAGTATTTGGTCTTATAGAGCTAACGCGCATGGCTGTCATAGAATGTCGCTAGCTATGTTCGCACCCACGAGAAGGCCCTCGCCAATGCACTACAGCTCCGTCGCCAACCCACCAAAAATACCATTCCACAATCACCCAGTGTTCCTTTGACCCCTGGTAGCTCCTTCGCATCAACTTCCTCCACTCTGGCTGCGGCCTTCTCATCCGCAGCGTTAAAATTCATGTCGCAGAATGTCAAAACCGCCAAACTTACCTTGACTCCCCACCACCTTTTCTACCTCCTCTCCCGTTTTGAAGAATTGAGCATTGCCGTTGGCCCGATGAACATCAGGTTGGAGAATATTCACACCGAGGTTTCGCAATCCTATGTTTCATTCCTGAACAAGCCCCAACAATCCCGGGGCGATCGGGCCTCCGTCCATTCGGTATCCAGTGTTCGTAGTGTGATGTCTGGTATGACCGACCTTTGGTCATCTTTCCGCCTCGGATCCAATACCCCAACCAAATCGGACAGAGCCAAGGCCGCCTTGGAAACGGACCTGAAGTACCTGTACTCCGCCTTTACGAAGATCCCGTGTCTTCGTCTGGCCCCGGACCACCGTGCTCCTCTGATCTCTGGATATGAAGAATTTCCTTTTGATACGGCTGTGCCCCTGCACTCCTTTAAAAATTTGAGCGCTTTAGAGATTATTGATTTAGACTATCGTTCTTTCTATGGCTGGGACAGATTGTCCGAGCAATTACGCACCTTGACCATCAAGAGAGGCCACCTGGATGATCCGGCCGATCTTTTAACGAGAATTGTGTTGGATGATATTGATAAACGCCGCCGACGGTCTGCCAAATCTCAACAGTCGCCTTCACTTGGATGGACCAGTTCCAGCAGTCAACCAGTTCACACTCCCGATCAGTCCAACTCCCTCTCAGCCCCTGGGTCTCCTATCGTGGACACCGCATTCGGAACTAGCACTAGTCCTAGATCTGTCCCGATGATCCGGGCTGGCTCAGATGGCGCCAAAAACCGCACTAGGGCGGGAAGTGTCTCTCCGACTCGGCCGACCACGAAGCACGGCCACCGTCGAGGTCATTCTCGGCAAATTCGCCGCACAGGCTCGGCAAGCTCCGAATCAAGCGAGGCCTCTATCGGCTATCGAAATGGAAGCTCTACAAACCTTCTCGCAGACGTCCTCTCGCCTTCAAAATGGCGATTCCTGCGACACCTGGGCCTTCCGGAAAATTCCTTGACATCCGTCTCTGCTGCCAGTCTCGCCCCTGTTGCCAACAGCCTCAACTCGCTTGATCTGTCCTCCAACCTTTTGACGGAGATTCCCGACGGTATAGCGTCACTGGTGGCATTGAGAGCCCTCAACTTGTCGCATTGCATGATTGAGTCTCTTCACTCGCTTACCCGGAATCCTCTTCCCGCCATCACTGTTCTCACTCTTCGCGGAAATCGCCTTCGTTCGCTCGCGGGCATCGAGCGGTTACTCTCTCTGGAAAGATTGGATCTTCGTGACAACAACCTTACGGACCCGACGGAGATTGCACGGCTGACCAGCCTCCCTGAAATACGGGAGATCTGGGTATCTGGCAATCCCTTCGTCAAGACCCACTCTGGGTATCGAGTTGTGATCATGAACCTGTTCCGTCGGACGCCTGGTTATTCCGAGGACATCATAATTGACGGTAGAGGTCCCGGATATACCGAGAGGAAGCAACTTGTTGAGCGAGTTGCAGAGCCGCAAGCTGCACCGGTTGTACGCTCCAGCGCGGCAGATGAATCAACGGTTGTGCAAAAGTCTACTTTATCGAAAGTCCCTCAGGATCTTGCAATTTTCAAGCCTCAAGAAGAAGAAGAAGATTTGCACATTAATGGCACACAGGTGAAGGAAAGTGACGGGGGAACCAACCGTCGCAAAAAGCCCCAACGACGCAGGATAGTCGATATCTCAGTGGATAACCCATTTACCAACGATGGTCTGGGCAATGCAGGAAGCACAGCTCTCCCCGCACTTCCCGTTCAGCAGATCCAACCACCAGTCGACCATCCGATTGTTGTCCCTGTTGATCAGCCGTGGAGGCTGGACAGCTCTGTTCAATCTGGAGCATCAAGCATACAAAGCCCTGCAAAACCTATGCACTCACCGAGTCCTCCTCTTGTACAGGCTTTGCAAAGTAAGGACAGGAGCATGGATGAAGAGTTCTGCCGCCAGCAGCTGGAAGTCCTTCGTCAGGACGTGGGCCATAACTGGCTAACTGTTCTCGGCGAGAATGATTGGGATAACTCCCATAAAGACTTCGCTCACAGCTCTGGGGCAGGCTTGGACCATTCCGCTCACATTTCCACACCCCCAATCACCTGCTCGAATACCCAAGCGATCCTGAGCGGACATGCGTTTAGCGGATAAAACACCATTTTCCCTTTATTTACAGTTCCCGGCCCATGACATACCTGCCGGGACTCTCTTCACCTCTCCGTCTCATAACTCCCGGAGTTCTCTCTGTGGACGTTTACCTGCTTCTACGGGTTCTTTCCCATCTCTTTTCCTTACGGGGATACAACTCCCCCGTCCCCCGAGGACTCATTTGAACAACATATTCCCAACACGAGCTGACCATTCTATGCATTGTTTTCGGCGTTGGATGACTTACGAGACATGGTGGGTTGGATGTATGAACTATTTACGGACGTCTTTTTTTTGTTTTGTTTTTTTTTTCTTTTCACTGTTTCCATTTCCCTTCTCCAAAACGCATCTTGCGATGGCCTGTGATCTTTCCACGGAACAGTGAAAGACATATTTTGTTTTCGATAGCGTTGTACTGTATGACTCTGAATTTCGGGCTGGCGTTGGAAGGATCCTTTGACTTTAATTCCCCTCTTTGGTTTCTGTTGTCAAATTCCTCTATGATGCACTTCTGGAGCATTGTATAAGAGAGCTTATAGCTCAAGAATGCCAATTATTTTGAAGATTTCCTATATTTTTCCCAGTTGTAGAGTTTAATAGGTCTAGACAAAGTATAGAATATATGATATCAGTCTAGATGCCTCTTAGTAGATCAGCCTCTTTGCTTGGACCCTTTGGCGTCAAGGGCGAGGTCTCGACCTAGAAACCCCTCTTATGCAAAAAAAAAAGTCTGCATAGTCAAAGCGTTAGAGAAGAGATAGAATAGGAGAAAATGAAAATAATCTATATATATATATATATAATGAAAAGCAAGAAAAAAAAGTCCCCTATAAACTATAAACCGGGAAGATCAAACACGCGCAAACACAAATGGGAACTTCCCGCTTTCAAAAAGATTCTCTTCTTCTTCTCTCCACATCTTCACGTTCCTAAACGTTTTATTGAGATTTTTTTTAGTAAACCGGTCTGATTATAAGAAAATTTTCTCCCTTGATTGAAATTCTCTTCTCGACACACCTCGATTCATCTCGACTCACCTCTTTTATCAGAGTCCAGTGCTCTTTCGCTCAGCCTCGTTTTATCTTGAGGCGTCTTGGAGCCCATTCCCTTCGATATCTAACGTGCGCGTACACAACCACTCGGATAGGCACCACCGTCCCACACCCGTCTGGCATCTCTGCCAGAACTGTTTCTTTTTTCTTTCCCGCGGCCGTTGGGGCCCTTCTTTAGATCTGTTTGGTCTTGAAATCTTCTGTTTGGTAGGTCTCGATTTCTTTTCCTTCTACTTCTCCCATCCCCGACCGCCCAAAGGGGGAAGAAAAATCTAAAAAAAAAATCTCGAGCGCGTCCTTCAATTTCACCTCACCAGACTTGGCATGCAAACTGGACTCTCATTCTGTGACTCTTTATATTAACTTGTTTTTCTCGATAGTAACAGGACATAGCCGCCGCCTCATCAAATCTCTGTTATTCTCACCCGATCGCTCCGGAAGTCTCTCTTCCACCCTTCGCTTTTCTTTTCCCCATTTTTTTTTTCTTCTTTCGTGTTTTCGTTAGACATTATTCGCCATGGCCGATCAAGAAGTGGATTTGGACTCGATTATCGACAGGCTCTTGGAGGTGAGGGGTAGCCGCCCTGGCAAGCAGGTCCAGCTGCTCGAGTCAGAGATTCGTTTCCTCTGCACCAAGGCTCGTGAGATCTTCATCTCTCAGCCCATTCTGCTTGAACTCGAAGCGCCCATCAAGGTAAGTTTTTTTGTGTCCGAGCGACCACGAGTCGGAATAGGCCTCCGTCTAACTTGCGTCTCTCGCTAGATTTGCGGTGATATCCACGGTCAATACTATGATCTCCTGCGTCTCTTCGAATACGGCGGTTTCCCTCCCGAGGCTAACTACCTCTTCCTCGGTGACTACGTCGATCGTGGCAAGCAGTCTCTCGAGACCATCTGCCTCCTCCTTGCGTACAAGATCAAGTACCCCGAGAACTTCTTCATTCTGCGTGGAAACCACGAGTGTGCCTCGATCAACCGTATCTACGGTTTCTACGATGAGTGCAAGCGCCGATACAACATCAAGCTCTGGAAGACTTTCACCGATTGCTTCAACTGCCTTCCCATTGCCGCCATCATTGATGAGAAGATCTTCACCATGCACGGTGGTTTGAGCCCCGATCTCAACTCCATGGAGCAAATCCGCCGTGTCATGCGCCCCACGGATGTAAGTTTCTCCCCCAGTTCATCCCTCCCCTCTGGATGTGGTTCTATTGGCAGCGAAAGGAAAAGTGACATTGTGGGAGTGGGTTCGCGGCTAAAGGCCAACATCGCTGACTGAAATAGATCCCCGACTGCGGTCTCCTGTGCGATCTCCTGTGGTCCGACCCCGATAAGGAGATCACCGGCTGGAGCGAAAACGACCGAGGTGTTTCATTCACATTCGGCCCCGATGTGGTTTCGCGCTTCCTTCAAAAACACGATATGGATCTGATCTGCCGTGCACACCAAGTTGTTGAGGATGGATACGAATTCTTCTCCAAGCGCCAGTTGGTTACACTATTCAGTGCGCCCAACTACTGTGGTGAATTCGATAATGCCGGTGCAATGATGAGCGTAGACGATAGTCTGCTCTGCTCCTTCCAGGTGAGTTTATTGCAACTTTCATCCCCATCCTTTTTTTCTCTCGATCAGTTCCTAACCTACGTTTTTTTCTTTCTTTTGATAGATCCTGAAACCAGCCGAGAAAAAGCAAAAGTACGTTTACGGTGGCATGAGCGCCGGCGGTCCTGTCACTCCTCCGCGAAAGCAAAAGAAGAAATAAAAGAATCAATACGAGCTTCCCCATGTGCAGCAGGTTCGGGCGGAGATAAGCCTTTCACAAATCTCTTTAACAGCGCCCTCACGACATTCTCCCTACAATCCCCGCGAGTCCTCCCCCCGGATCCACGAAAACGATGAACGACCGAGGAACCCCTCCGCAGCCAGGGCAGCCCGATATTCCTCAACTCCCACGCCGATAATATCACAGTTTCATTTCTCAACTCCTCCCGGGCTCTATCTCCCAGTGCGACATGCGATAAAAAATCAGTCACATCATTTTCCTGGCCCCGTGCAACCCTACTTCCGGAGCGGAGTTCAAATGCTTTCTCGACTCTGTTTCTGTTTGTTTCTAACCATCTGGACTGGAATGTTTTTTTCTTTCGGCATCCTGGGAATGGGGAAGGGAATCTGGTTATCTTTTCTCTTTTTTCTTTTTTCTTCTACTTCTTATTGTCTTCCTTGACCGCATGTGTTGTTGTTTTCTTATCGAATCATATTCGTCTTTTCGAATCTTTTTCTAGTCCGATACGTACGAGGGTAGTAGTACTTCTCTGTGCTGATGGCATCGTATATCGGATTTGAAATAGGTTTCTCGGTCTCTAGCGATGTGAATCTCGGTCTTGGGGTTTCGGAGGTCTAGATTGTTTGTTATATGGGTGAGAATCACAATTGAGTTTTATGTAGGTCAATATATCTTATATTTTTCTATTTAGTTCATTCATTGATACTCGAACTAATAGATGCATACTCGAGGGATTTTGAATGTCTTTCCAAGACATGAGTCTCAGGTTATACATAGAAAAGTCACAGTTTATGCTTTCCGCTTTTGTTTCCGTCTATAAAACCAAGTAGGGGAGAAAATATCTATAAAAAAAGACATATAAAATGAATCGAAAAGACTACTAAGAGTACCGAGAAGAATAACAAAAAGACATCATGAGGAGAGCAACTAACCTTAGAAGTTACCTTATATGCACCCACCACACCTCATCTAATGTAGTCTTTCATCGCTCCTGACCTTCCCTCAAGGGCTTCAATACCGCAATCCTAGTTGCATCGCCTCTAGGTAATACACAGAGCCACATTTACTAGCACTATGATTCTGCTATGCCACTCCACGATTGTGTCATTATGAAGTAGATACATAGCCCACCTCGCCCGGAAACCACCCCAAACAACGAAATTCATCCTTTTCCACGCAACCAAAGAAACACTCGAAATCCTCTTCAATCCAGACGAAGAAACACCCATCACAAAACTGTGCTCTTCATTCAACACAAACGAACAACTTTTCCTAATCACCATACCCTCATTCCCACATAGCGCAGCATTCGGTGTCGTGCCTGATGCGCTTAGGTATTCCTTACTGTCAATGGGTCATTTTCTTTCTCTCCAGGGATACCAAGGTGCAACCATTATAGGTGATGGTCGAGGCAAAGCGGCTGGCTGGGGCTGGGGTCCGAGAAAGAGAGCTTGTCCTGGTGCGCCCTTTCATTCGCCTTCTGTTACTCTCGAGGTTGCGTACTCAAACTCGGATTCGAAGGTGGCATACACGAAGTTGAATTCGGAGGTGAGGTTTTGGCTTAACCCTAACGAGGGTAAGGCTAACTTGTGCTTAACACTTCGGATTCATAAGGCGTGTCCGGAAATTTGTATTGAGAAATGGAAAAGACGGCAGGATAGAATTCGCCGCTCTGGGGTCACATACATTACTAAAAAAGGGGATTGCTTCAATGTCACACATCATCCTTTCATCATTCCGTCCGAAAGACTCTTCTGTCGCCTGCCGGATCGTGGGGAGAAAGACATTGAGTTCTCACGAGAACAACTTGTGGAATTGCGGAGACGATTTGGGAAGATCAGGGCTGGTAGTCTAGTCTTACCTATAGCCACGATGGAAGAATAACCGTGGATAATTTGTGTAGTATAGGAGATGACCATGAGGGCACTTGAGCAGCAAATATAAGCCATGTAATTTCGCCTTGGACGCAATTCGTAGGTTGTAACACACCATCCCTATGCTTTATACCAAGAAAGAAGAGATAAATTCAAATCTTTGGACTATAGTATCCAGGAAAAACCAGCTAGCTAGCTCGAGCAAAAAGGCGCAGAACAAAAGGAGCAAGAATTGAACAAACATAGCAAGATGAGCGCGGTACAGCGTTGTCGAGTAACACATTCAAGACGTACAGATACGTCCGGGGGTAAATATGGATTGGGTTTGTGGGAGGGGGCGAGTATGGGACTGAGGTTTCGGGTGTGGAGGAATGTTGGGGCGAGCCGAAACCGACGCCAAAACCAAAGCCATTTTCATTTCACTTAGAATCTTAATCGAGTGGAATGAATCTGGATTTGGAATTGACAGGTTAGAGAGGGAGATCGGTTTGTCGGGGGAACAGGGAAGACTCCGTTTAAACGTATTGAGACAACCATCTGATGCCCTCGCCGTATCCTGTGAAGGAAGAAAAGTTAGTTCTAAGTGTTTCTCAATATGTGGCTAGCCACGCCCCGCATTTCCATTGTATATCCAATGCCGAGGCCCGGAATTGACCAAACTCACCCTGTCTCATAACAACACTGCACATGAACACCTCAATAGGACGGATACCCTCGAGAGGGACCTTGCCCTTACCAGTGGTCTGGTAGAGACCGAGCTGGTGGCGCAGCTCATCCTCGCTGACAGCATCGGGGTGATCGATCTTGTTTCCGAGGACGAGGAAGGGAACCTTAGAGAGCTCCTCCATGGCGAGGAGAGCGTCGAGCTCAGCCTTGGATTCGGGGAAGCGCTCGTAATCCTTGGCGTCAACCAAGAAGACGATTCCGCTCACTTCGGGGAAGTAGTCCTTCCAGAGACGACGAGCTGAAGGAAAAAGGTAGGTTCGTTAGTTATGTACAATCTCGAGATCCACTGTGGAGGGGTGTTATGTTGCTTGGCACTATGCTTGCGCAACATCACATCCCCATTGAGAGCGTTACTCACCCTGCTGGTGACCACCGAGATCGAAGGTCGTGAAGCGGTTGTTGCCGATGGCCAACTCCTCCGAGGTGGGGTGTGCGGTAGGTTGCAGGACGGCGACGCGGTCGTTCTGTTGAATGTCCTGTCAGTAAACAACTCCATACAATGCCCAGTTCTCATATCTCTCCCAGATCTGTGCAACCACCCAGCGCAACCAGACTTCCGGCCTTGTAGCCAGCAGAATTGAGCACCGAATAACTAGGTCCTCTCTTCCCAACTTAAACACCAACACTGAACTCACCTTCAACATGTGCAGCAGTGTCGTCTTGCCGGCATTGTCCAGACCGAGGAACAGGAGCTTCGCGTGCTTATTGAGGAGACCCAGCGAGGCCAGGACATCGTAGACTATAGTAGAAACAAGCGAAATCAGCAAATTGCACCTTGTACCTCGAGATGCACACCTCGATCACAGCAACCGGTACCGCGCCACAGCCGTCGCATGAATCGATTTCGGAGTCGGAATGAAGATATTTTCAGCTCCAATGCAGCTAGACTGTCTAGAAATACATCTCGTTCTTTCTTCCCCCGTGTTTAAGATCGGCCCCGGACGGTGACCGCAGGTGATCGGGTGTGGTATCGGGAGGGTACTTACACCAGTTGACGATCCACATGGTGAAAGGTCGGAGTCAGGAAGTAGTGCAGAAGAGGATGAGCTAAGATCACAGATTATCAGTGACGAGCTGATTGGGGAGAGGTGGATGGACGGGGGTGGAAGAGATAGAAGCAAAGAAGACAGGTTTGATGTTGTTTTCGGGGATTTGGTGCCTTAGGCAGGAAGACGGAATCCTCGCGCGATAAGCTCCGACTTGGGGGGAGACGGGCTGATTTGGGTAATTTGGGTATGGACAGCGTTGTAGGTTCTTTTGTGATTTGTTGGGGAATATTGATCATAATTGCGTACTTTTGTCTTGTTCATCGTGGCGAAGACTTGCCACTACTTGACCTCGTACGATTACTGCTACCATCTATAGGAATCTACTATAGGAAGAACTTCATCTAGAATATTTCATATTCACTCCCATCAAACTGATGGATCTCTTTATTCACAATGCAGAAAAGCCAGATAGGGGGTATATGCACCGCAGCCATGCAAGACAACAAAGGAAGCGACCTCCAGCAAGTCCATAGGACCGCAGTATAGGAAAAGAGGGAAAAGAAAGGATATAGATAGACTTCCGACAGAAAAATGCAAAGAAAGAACCACCTCCGTGTAGGGATTATTGAAGCAAAGGGGAAAAGGGATAAGGGTAAAGAAACCATTCATGTGGACAACACAAAGTCGGCTAATATGTGTAAGAAAGCGAAAGGCACTCGGATCGCTAACCGAGCAGGGTAAGACAAAATATAACCCCGGAACCAAAAAGGTGACAAAAAAGTAGGTATGTACAGGTCAAAAAAAAAAAACGGAGGGGGTGAAACTTTTTCATACAAGTTCCATATAGGTAGGGGGATACCTAAACGGATAGGACGAGCTGGGCGTCTTGACCGACGCCGTAAGCTCTGCACCTCTCAGCAACTTCGAGGCCAAGCTCCTTCATCCGTTCGGCTCCATGGCCTGGAACAGGCCGTTTGCCCATCTGCTCTTTGGCAGCTTTGCGGCAGTGTTGACGCCAGAACTTTTCTTTGCGTTTCTGGCGCTTTTTCTCGAGCCCCTCGACAATGTCGACTGGGCCACGAGTGTGTAGCTGCTCACGGGTACGTGAGTGCTCATCCTCTGGGGATTCAGAGAATGCTGGGATACCTTGCCATCGGTGATCTTTGTCCAGGCCGGTGAAGAAAGGATTGGGGACACGGGGGAGTGATTTGGTACGGACGAGAGGCCGGCGCTGAACCAGGTGGCTGATGTTTAGACCTTCGGGGGACTCAACAATGTGCATTTCCTGGGTAAATTGCCACTTGGCTGGGGTGGGGGACTTCGCTCTCACGCGTGGGGGCGGAGACTTGAGACGCTTGGGAGAAATGCGGCCGGTGCGACGGGGTGGTGG